GCAGTCCAAAACTCCCAAGTAACCCAAGGTTAAGAACCAGTGGTCTAGAGAATATAAGTGAATGTACTATTTTTCAAGGGGACGTGGTGGTGGTGCGGGTTAAACCGCAGAAGGCTCTGTGCTGCAAGGTTGGAAGACCAGCCGTCATCAGATCGAATCCACGTGATGGAGTGAGCTCCCGTTGCTTGTCCCAGCTCCTGCCAACCTAGCAGTTCGAGAGCATGTAAAAATGCGAGTCGATAAATAAGGACCACCTCGGTGGGAAGGTCACGGCGTTCCGTGTCTAGTCACGCTGGCCACGTGACCACAGAAACCATCTTTGGACAAACGCTGGCTTTACAGCTTGGAGACAGGGATGAGCACCGCCACCTAGAGTCAAACACAACTGGACTAAAGTTCAAGGGGAATCTTTACCTTTACATACAATTTTTTATTAATTCTAAGGAAAAACGAACTCATAAATCCTGGCCCTGTTGCCTACATGAGCATTCAGCTGACTGATTTTGTTTTTTAATCTAGAGAGTTGACAAAATGTAGGATTAAGACTGCTGCTGTATTTTACCTAAGGAAAGCAATGCAGGGGGAACCCGATGAGGGAAGCTTCCTCAAGCTAAGCTTTCGACAGGAGTCTTGTACTTCTTAGAGGTTTACCCTCCTGTCCCCAAGCTGAAAAATCAGCAGCCAGCATCCCATTGTGAAATGCCATGCACATAAGGAAAGTTGCATCAGCCACTTTGCAGCTTTCAGGCTGTCTGTTCTATGCCCAGGCACACAACTGAGTCTGTGACCTGGATATGTCTAAACGTGTAACAGACAACCGGAACAATCGCACAAACCACGTACGCAACTTTGGGTTTACGCTGCGCAGACCCAACAGGAGTGCGTGTTGTTGTGGAGAGTCCCTAGTGAGAACATATTGGGATGTCATCTTGCAGACTTGAGGCTAATCACTCATTATATAAACAGAATATCATTAAATGTACATGCTTGCTTTGGTTGGCTGATGCCCGTCGCTTACGTTGTGGTCTGCGCAAACTATTTTTTGATGCTTTAGAAAGTTCTCAGTTTACATGGTAAATTAAGGTTTATTTTAAAGTGATGAGCAAGCTCTGCTTGGCTCAGCTCACAGTGATTTTTCTGAGCTTTCTCCAGGAATTCTCAGTGGACCCTTTCTTAGTGTTTTCAGAGAGTACAGAAGAAAGGAAGTCAAGTAGCATTTGACCACTGTTTTCCCTACCACTCCTCTTCCATATAACGGGGAAAATGAATGATGAGAGGGGGAGGCTAAAGAAATATGAGACGTTGAGGGCCTCCTCTGTTTCCAAGTTCACTAAATTGAGCTGTTTTGTGTATTCCAGTAGTAAATCATGCTTCCTGGAGCATGTTTGGAAGTATCCAGGCCTTTAGCCGGCAGCCTATAAGGTGTCCCTTCCACACAGCCATCAGCACTCCCTCACCTCTGCAAAAACTGCAAATTCAAGATGGTTTGTGCAGGGACAGAGGAATGCTGACAGCAGTGTGGAGCTGATTACAACCTGGGCCCGGACTTCGAAGGCTCAGGATGGTCTGTGGGATTCTCAAATCCCCAAGTTCTGAAACGTTCCGCCATCTCTTAAGCTGCACAATTGCCAACATGGTTTTCAAAGTGCGGCTTATCTTCCCGTTGCAGTCCTTTAGTCGTTTGTTTTTTTTTTAAGCAGTGGCTCTTGAAAGACAGAGACGTTTGATAGAGCTGTAGATCTTCATTTATATGTGAATGGTAGAACAATAGATTGGTCTCCATGCGACTGGGCCAACCCAACTGGGAAACATTTCCAACCAACTGAAACCAAGAGAGAAACAGAGGTTGTCCACCAGCGCTTACTCCCAGGTCTGTTTCTCGTCCACTCTATCTCTTTGATGTGCTTCTTACCCAAAGTTTCAGGGCCAGCCCTACCATTAAGTAGAGGACAGTGACTGCCTCAGGTGCCAGATGCTGGTGGTGCCAATTATTCCCCTTGAGACCTCAAAACTGTCCTGCACCCCTGAATTAACCTTCTTCCCCCTAATGTGGTAGAAGACTCTGTCCTATGGCCACTTTCCAGGTCAGTCAGCTTCTTTGGCATGGATGGAAAGACAGGTCACCTTGTCGTTGGCCCCAGGGAGCAGAATGACTTGGGTGAATCCTTCTGGTGGATGTTATATTTGAACACATTTTAGTGACGTGAGGGGTGATGGAACAATCCCTTGAGATCAGTGGTTCTGATTTAATTCCTAGGCCATGTTCTCCTCCCTTGCTTGGAATCATATCTCATACTGTTCCTCCCAAAGCCCCTGTGTGGCTTCTGGGTCATTTCCAGACACAATTCAAACAGCAGATGGTTTCCTTTAAAGCTCTCTGTAACCTAGGACCCCAGTTGTATTGGTGCCCGTTCTTCTGCCAACTGAGGCAGGAAGCTCCTTGCCTCTGTGACCCGCTGCTGCCCATGTCCTCTCCCATGGATGCTGCAGAGGAACCTTTAGAGGAGGACGGAGGGGGAAGGAAAATGAGGTCTGGGATGGCCACCGGGTCAGCAGGTTGTTTGGAAAAGCTGCTGGAGGTTGGAGCATGGACAGAGTTCCCTGTGGAAGGCATGGCTTCTCAGAAGTAAAGTGCTGAGTGAGGAAAGGTCTCAGAACTCCTTGAGAAAAAAGACCCAGCCTTATGTCAAGCAACTGTGGTTGTGCTCCAGAGTTTGGCCAGCGATTCAACACAGGTTCCAACCAAACCACCATTGACGTTGCCCCCACTACCACCAACATCTTTCAATTCCTTCCTCCCTAAGTGTTCCTGAAGGGGTGTGTGGACAGCAGTGGAAGATGGGTGGTAATGGCTCTGCAGATGCCATGAGGGCCCGGCTTCCAGGGCACCCCAGTACCTGGAAGAATGCCAACCCACCTGCTTATATCGAGATCATCCTCAGATGCCCTCCGTATGGGAGGTAAAGTAGATGACGAGGGCCTTCTCAGTGGGGTGATGGTTGTGACCTCTTGGTAGCATTTCATGCACAGGGTGCCCTGCATGGTGCTGGCATTGTTCTCCTTAAAGCATCAAGCCGAGGCACCCTACATCTGCACCAGCTTATAAGATTCAAGCCCTAGAAACTGTCAAAGAAAGAAGAAATTCGTACAAGAGAGATACATATTTCTCGAAAAAAATTGCATAGGCTTATTTATGCCCTACACGTACAAATAAAAACACGATTATTGTAAATTAAGTCAAATATATCTCGTTTTAGCTGGGAAGGTTTGCTGATGCTCCTCTTTCAGAGTTAACTCTTGATGGGCAGCTTCAAGTCATTTCCTTGTTTTCTCTTCTTAAGGCGCTTTATCTTCAAAACAGACTTGGATGGAACAGCCTTCAAAGAACGAATGGGTGCCTTTAAATATAGAGCTGTCTTTTCACAGTCCTTGAAACAGAGGACTCTCATCTGTAAAGTAGAACAGATGTCCACCCAGCCATTGGCATAATCTTAGAACTGCAGAGCTGGAAGGGACCCTATGAATTATCAAACTGAGGCCCAGTGGAAATTGAACCCCCAACTTCTACCTAAACCACTGAGCTCTCCAGGACAGTGGTGCCTCGCTTAACGATTACCTCATTAGACGACGAAACCGCTTTACGACGAAGTTTTTGCGATCGCTATTGCGATTGCAAAATGATGTTCCTATGGGGAAAATTCGCTTAGCGATGGACGGTTCCTTGCTTTGGGAACCGAGTTTTCGCTAGACGATGATTTTAAAACAGCTGATCGGCGGCTCTAAAATGGCCACCCGCTGTGCAAAATGGCTCCCCGCTGTGCTTTAGGACATGGGAAAATGGCCTCCCTTTGGAGGATCTTTGCTGGACGCTGAGATATTTAGCCCATTGGAATGCATTGAAACGGTTTTCAGTGCATTTCAATGGGTTTTTAAATTTCGCTTAACCAGGATTTCGCTTAACAGCGGTTTGAATGGAATAAATTATCCTCGTCAAGCGAGGCACCACTGTATAGGGGAAGGGGGCGCACATAGTCATCCTTACCCTGTGCAAAGGGGATCCCTCCCACTTCCTGTTGTGATGCTTGACCCGTAGCATTTCTGTCCATTTATGTTTTGTATTGGAATAATATGCATCTTGAAAATAATATGCATCTTGAAAATCTGTTATTCTCCTCAGTTAGCAAGGAGGCATTTAAGAGAAAATTGAACAATCATCTATCAGATCTATACTGGTTTCAGTTATTGCTTTGAGCAGGGGGTTGGACTTGATGGCCTTGCAGGCTCCTTTCAACTCAATTATTCTATGATTTTTACAAGTAGGAGGAGAGGGGGAAACTTGCTTTCTAAGTAAGCCCAACTAAGTGCAAAAAAAAATTTGCTGGATGCTCAGCTGACTGGATCTGCCCTGCTCCTGAAACAAACTGAATCATACTTTAGAAGTAGAATACAAATATCTGTAGTTATTATATCCAGTTTTTTTCCTGGTTTGTTATCTGGAAAGCACACACTGTGGGAATGAGGAATTTTGTTCCACTGTCATAATTTAATCAATTCTCCTCTATTTTGTTTAGACTCAAATAAGATACAAATCTGGAGGGGCCCCCTGAGGTTAAAAATACGGGGGAAATGAGAAGAATTCCTTGAGGACTGATGTTTTTAATTAACAGACTTGGAGAATGGGGGTGGGGGAGAGAATAATTAATTTGATTCGTTTAATAGAACAGAAAACTGTGGTTTGACTTTCATAAAATCTGTTCATTACACAGCTGTGACACAATCTGCATTTTGTATCGCAAGAGCTGCGTTCTGTATCCTTCCGCTATCTTATATACATATACGTATAAGTGTCTACTCAAAATAAAACCCACTAAGCATGGATTCCACCTCTTATCATCCCCTTCTAGACGCAACACATCTAGAGCATGCCAAATTTTCGACAGCTGACTTAGGGTATGTATATGTGTGTGTGTGTTATTCACCAGATGTGTTTGTTCCAATAGACTTCTCCATCAGAAGAAGTGAACAAGAAACAGCTTTTGTCCCCGCATCGCCTTTCAGTAGATCAATCCGAGGAGCATTTTCAAAGGCAGAGAGCTGTGAGTGCAGTCAGTATCATCACCAGTGCCATGGAAGGTAAGACATTATTTCTCATTTAGTCCAAGTGCATGCTCTAAGTACACTCTGGAAAAAAAACCCACCAGTGTCCTATATCAGAGGTCATCAACCCCCGGTCTGCGGCCCCGTGCCAGTCCGTGGCCTTAGCCGGACTGGGTCGCGGAGACAGGCCTCCCCCCCCATGCACTCTCCTCCCCACAGCTGTTTTGCACACACATGCGCATGTCAGTGCCAGTGTGAGCGCTCCCCCACCCCCTTCATGCATACACCCAAGTGCCCACGTGAAGGGTCGGGTGCACAGGTGGGCGGGTGTGTAGGCACTCCTGCACATGCGTGAAGGGGTGGAGGAGCGCTCACACCGATGCTGGCAGGCAGGTGCACTCTCCCCCACTGCTTCGTGCATGCGCCTGAAAGAGTGCACACACGCGCCCGAGTGCGCGGGAAATGCCCCACCTTCTTCGAGGCTCAGCCAGTCTGCAGTCCCCACAAAACTGGGGACCGCTGTCCTATATGATGGAATGGGTGGGCTGTATGGTTTGCTAGGAGTTTCTCAGCTGCTACCCGCCAGCCCAGTAGAAAGGTCTCTCTATTTCTAAGGCAACAAAAGAAAAAAAAATCTCCTGGCAGAGAGATGTCCACTCCTTCTTGTATCTACTAGGTCACTGTAGTCTGAAGAGGAGATATTCTGATCTAGATGGTTTGGGGTTTCAATGGATTGTACCTGAACAGTGCCTTGTAAACAATCCTGACCTTGCTGTGCTCAAAGACTAACAAGGAAGAGAGAGAAAGAGAGAGAGAGAAGCCAGCCTTGTTTAGTTTTGTATCAGCCATGAAGAAGCAGGCGATGGCAATGGCCCAAAGTTTCTGCATGGGTCACCTTTAACAAAGACTGTCATGACCACCGTTGGTTTCAGAAATGAAAGCTAGTATGAAAGAGACATATAGCTGACGCAGATAACTTGCCATGTTATGCTGTGGTGCCAAGTTTGGCCAAGCAAGCAAGATGCAAGGTCATTTAGATAAAGCTGAATTCCACTTTTGCTCGAAGCAACCGGTCGCGGGCGTTCCCGTCTGCCCTGTCATCCACTGTGGCTTGCAGGCAGAGATCTTGCTCATCCCTGCTCTCTGCTCCTTTCACGGTTGGGCCCAGGATGTGAGGCCTTCTGCATACAAAGCAGAAAAAAAAAAAGCTCTGACATTCTTCTCTAGGGTTTCATACCTATTGGGAGATGAGAGAGACGCCTGCCCAACCCGCCTTGAATTCCTGCTTCGAATGTGGGTGCTTATTGCCTCCGTTTGGCTAGTGTTGCTGGGTAAATTGAACAGAACCCAAGTTCGGTCCAAATAACAAGACTGTAGCTCATTCTTGTGTCTGCCAAGGGACATCACAAACTAGAAAATGCTACTTGACAGCTCCCAGAATCCTCTGTCTTAACACAGAGTGGCAGGGGGATTCCGGGAAGTCTAGGGCAAAAGATAACTTCCTCCATTGTTCATGTTGCAGTCCTCCTTCCTTCTCACGATTTGCTTTGGGTGCTTTAGCACCGGGTCTGTGCTGCTTTAGGAGGGACGGCACAGGCCGGGAATGGAAGACATTTGGGTATGATCCGTTGCCAGACTTCATCAGCGTAGGGCCCTCTATATGCTTTGGACTACAACAGCCAGCAGTCCCAAACAGGGTAGCCAACAGCAGGAAATGGTGCCCGTCCAGACAAATGGAGCTAACCAGGTTGGGGAAGGAATCCACCGTTTTAACCTGAGGTGGATTCAACCCTAGAATTTCAAAACATGTGCTCTACCATTTAGTTGTGGGTCATTCTTGTGATTATGGTGAGTGAATATGGGGTTTTCTAATCAATGTAATAAGCTAGGAAATTGTCACTGCTATCTAATTCCAGGGTAGCGACAATAAATTCAAATTCAAATAAATGTATTGTTATTGTAAGTACAGTGGGGTCTCTACTTAAGAACGTCCCTACTTAAGAACAATCCGACTTAAGAACAGCTCCATTTGCTAAATTTGCTTCTACTTGAGAACAGAAATCCAAGATAAGAACAGGGAAAAAAAAACCTTTCCGGTTCGAAAGCATGCAAATGCAAGTAGATAAACCGCCTTTCTCCTTAAAAAGAACCCAGCGTGGCTTACCACAATTAAAAAACAGTATTTAATCCAACAGCAATTATACTACACTAAAAGGATCAATGAATACAAAACCAAAGTGAACAATAGTAACCCCAAAACATATTCAATGCAATAAGGTACAACCATCCATTTAAAAAAATCCCAATTGGCAACCATTCACTCAGGAAAGCTTGCCTGCAAAGAAGTGCCCTCGCCTGCTTATGGAAGGACAGCCAAGATGGGGCCAGGCTGGCCTCCTGTGGGAGGGAGTTCCAGAGTCTGGGAGCAGTGACAGAGAAAGCTCTCTCCTGCATCCCTACCAAACATACCTCCGAAGGTGGTGGAACCGAGAGGACTCTCCTGATGATGTTATTATTTGATTCTTAAGTAGAGACCCCACTGTATTATTTGACCAGGCTCATAAAGGGAGACGCGGTCCTTGAGATCGCTTGGGCCCAAGGCCATTTAGGGCCAACCTCTGAAAATAAAGGTTTCCTTTCAGAACAGAAAGATTGATTTCCTTCCGGCTTGTTTGCTTCTGTTGCCTTTGCGTCCAACTGACGGGCGGCATTCTTTCCTGGTCACTCCTTCTTCCTTAGAGCTTGAAGAATCCCAACAGAAATGTCCCCCTTGTTGGAATCATTTTGCGGTGAAGTTCCTCATCTGGGACTGCTGCCCGCTGTGGCTGTTGATCAAGGAGAAAGTCAAGTACATCATCATGGACCCCTTCAGTGACCTGACGATCACCCTTTGCATTGTAATGAACACCCTCTTCATGGCCATGGACCATTACAAGATGACCAAAGAATTTGAAGAGGTGCTCAACGTCGGGAATCTGGTAAGGGGATTCTTTGAGAGGCGTAAGGCGTTCAAGTAGGAAAATACGAAAAACAGTTGCCGTGATGAACCAGACGTCAGCTCCGCAGTCTGTTTCTCGTAGAGGAACACTCAGAAGAATGGCATGGAACTATTGGCTTTCCCAGTTATTTATTTGTGGTATGTAGAGGTATGTTGACTCTGTTTCTACCAGAGGATTACCTTCTGTGCTTCTAGGAATTTGTCTGATCTTGCTTTTCCTGCCCTTGGTTCCCAGACGGTGTTGACCACACCTCTGGTCTTCCAACACCACCAGTGTGCTCCTATGCCAGATGATGGGAGTTGTCATGAACAGCCTCCGGAGTCTTCCTGTTGAAACAGACTGGTCTTAGCTTGTATAGAGAGACCATTTGAGGTTTGGTCTGCCCTTGAAACAAAGATGGGCCGTGCAGTCCTGAGGTTCAGGGACTGCAGAAACGTGGGAGTGGACACAAGCAAACCCAGGCAGCAGACTACTCAATTCACGTCTGCTTTAGGGGCATTTTCTTACATGATGCAGAAGCTTTAGGAAACCACTGCAATCTTGCTTAGAAGGAGAACGCCAGAAAGTTATGTTTACATCAGTGCAAGAGAATACTGCTTATGGGTTATCTGCCTGTTTCCTTTTACAGATCTTTACTGGGATTTTTACCACCGAAATGGTCTTCAAACTTATAGCCCTGGATCCTTATTACTATTTTCAGCAAGGCTGGAATATTTTCGACAGCATAATTGTCACGCTGAGCCTGATGGAACTGAGTCTGTCCAGCATGGGAAATGTGTCTGTCTTGCGCTCCTTCAGACTGGTGAAGTATTTTTCCTCTGTCTGTTTATCTATCTTTTTCTCTCTCTCTCTCTCTCTCTCACACACACACACACACACACACACACACACACACACACATCTCTCTCTCTCTCTCTCTCTCACACACACACACACACACACACACACACACACACACACAGACCCCTCAGCACAAAAACACACACACACAAGTGATTGTTTTAGTTGCTCTCCTACAAAGATGTGAAGCAGTCACGCTGGGTCACCCTGAGTGCCCAACCAGTGTGAAGACCAAAACTACATCCTGCAGCTTATGTTCCGTAGCACGTGATATGCACCAACATACAGCCTCTGATAACTGGGGTGGCTAGAAAGCCACCATTAAGGATGAAACAAATACTCCACAGGTTTTCTCATCCTCCGTGAAATAGGATGTCAGCACATCATGGCATTTTGTCAATATAGTCAGCCACTGAAATACTTTTTTTCATCTCGGATTAGAGGGGGAAAAGGTCAGTACCTTTTTCATCATCATCAGTGTTAAGAACAACAACGAAAACCTCCTGGTTTGGGTGTTTAAAAAACCCCACCTTTTTATTTTTACTTAAAATGCAAAGTTTTATAAAACAAAACACAAACCTTTCGTGCAAAAGTTGTCTCTCTCTCTCTCTCTCTTTCTCTCTCTCATTCTTCTTCTTCTTCTTCTTCTTCTTCTTTTTTGCAAAAATGTGGAAATATGGGGGAAAGGCACAAAAATTCACATTATGAGTCTCACCCAGTGAGGAGAGGAGAGGATTTTGAGTCTTTCCCTTCTCAACAGCGAGAATGCCATGATTGGTATTGCAGTCCTCATATCTCATAGCTATTGGTAACCTTCTCCACCCTGATAATCACAAATTGCAGCAGAAAGCTGTATTGACAACATTTGGTTTTGTAAAAAAAATAAAAAAAATGAAGGTGGCTTTTTCCTCCTGGTTAACAGCACAGAGAAGTGACACATCTGAGAATAACAAGCTACTGGTTAGGGCCCGGCTAAAATGTTTTGGTTTATTGTGCATGTTCTGCCACTCTTTCTTGGCTTCAGCTATTTTTGGCACCTTGTCGTGAGTACATTCATATTGTTCTGATGCTGTTCTTCCCAGCGCTCTCCTCCATCTTCTCCTTTTCGCTCCTTTGCCGGTCTGCTGTCCTCCGCTGCCACTTCATCCGATGGCCTATGGTGATGATCAATGTGGTTTTGATGCTAATAATAACATCAGCATCCCATTTCATCTTGGCACACTTAGGTTATCTCAGAGCTTGGAAAAGCTGGAGATTTGGGGGTGGGGGAGAAGGATGTTATAGTCTTTTAAAAAAAAAACACCGCACACACACACACAACCCACCCTGGGTGATTTGAAGGTGGGAACATGAAGATGGGGGCAAGATCTGTCTCCAGTATTAAGAAAGTGCCATCAGCTTAGAGCCACCAGTTCTTCTACTCTTACTCTTCTGCTTGCAGCTGAGTTGATGTAGGCCTTCCAATACCGTTCTCTCATTCAACCATGGTTTAAACTCTGTCCTTTTTACTCCCTCTGTCAAGAGGTACAATTGTCTGTCTCTTGCCTTTCCTCTCCAGCAAGATCTCAGTGGTGTTGTTCTGTTCTTCTGTGTGTTGTTGTTTTTTTACAGCTAAGAGTCTTCAAGCTTGCAAAATCTTGGCCCACCTTAAATACTCTCATTAAGATCATTGGAAATTCAGTGGGTGCTCTGGGAAACCTCACCCTGGTCCTGGCCATCATCGTCTTCATTTTCGCTGTGGTTGGGATGCAGCTCTTTGGGGAAATGTATTGCAGAAATGTCAACAGGATCAGCACCACGGGACTGTTGCCACGCTGGCACATGAAGGACTTCTTCCATTCCTTTCTCATCATCTTCCGCATCCTCTGCGGCGAATGGATTGAAACCATGTGGGATTGTATGAAAGTGGTCGGACAGCCTCTGTGTCTCCTGGTCTTCTTGCTGGTTATGGTGATTGGGAATCTGGTGGTGAGTACGACAAACGTTCGTTTTTTGTTTGGTTTGTTTTGTTTTAGAAGGGCTCTTTCTTGGCTTTTTGCTGGGTTGTCCAGCGTTCAAGGGCTCTGGGGCTTGAACTGGGAACTTGGTGCGCGGATGCTGGGATCCGGCCCACAAAGCATAAAGTGCTCGCTCAGGACACTTGTGTCTTCCAGATTCCTCATTGGCCTTGACATAGTCAAGCAGCATGAAAGACTGGGATGTCATAAGAAATTGATCAAGGGAGCTAGCAAAAGCAAGCTCTTCTGATAGACTAGTCATGAAGAAAGTCAGGATAAACTGGCCTGCTCTGAGGAACAAATCAGGGCTCTCTTTGACCAGATCCTCAAGTCACTTCCATTGCTGCCTCTTCCTTTCCCCTCATGGAGAAAACTAACCTTGGAGAGAGGAAGGAAGAGCCAGAGGTGCTAGAGTCAGAAGGTGCTCTGTGCATGACCGTACTGAAAAGCGGGTTTCTTTTTTAGTTTGCCCATCAGGTAGAGGAGATACCTATATGGCAAATAGTGCTTTGAATTCAGAGGGCTGTGCCTTCTACTGATGGATTTGGAGAATGGATGGTGCACAGAACTCAAGAGGAGAGTTTTGTAGCGTGATTTTGCAAATGAGTGCCATGTCTTTTTTTTTGCTGACGTAGTGAAGGGGCTGCACACTTTGGATCTCTTTCCAGGGGTCAAGGTTCACCGTTGAGTGCCAAGAATGGGTTATTCATCTCTGTGTGGACTTGAAATGTGGTGCTTGCTCTGACATTCTTCATTCCTTTTGCCGTTCAGTCAGCCTTGTAACCCATTAGATGGGCTTAGACGCACTTCAGCACATTCATACAGCCCCATGGGAGATAACGTACATTAGTGCCATCCATTGTGATTGCCGTGTGCTTGTTTAGCCATCTGATCTAGGTTGACAGAATCCAATGTGCCCTAGCTTAGTAACTTTCAGATATGTAAGAGAAGAACTACCTTCAGTTCCGGACAACATGATCATTGTTGGATTCTATCATCATTAGCTAGCATGGGTGATGGGAGTCAGACATCAACAACAGCTGGCGATCAAGCCTTTAAGATATGTTGGGAGCTTATTATGAGTCAGTTGCCGGGTAGGTGGGGCTCGTCAGCCCTGGAAGGCAGCCCATCTAGGAGAAGGAAAACTCCGACTTCAAACCTCCACTGCCTTGTGGCTATATCCTCTTATGGAAAGGGCTTCAGGAGATAACCTCGAGGCAAAATCCGGAGCCGGAGTCCCGGAGGCAGTTTATATCATTCCGCCAACTCCTGCGACGTCACTGGAACCAATTGTACTGGCTCTTGCCTTTCCACTGGACAATTTCAGTGACGTGGAGAGGGGGGATTTGCTGCTTGGGTAACAGCCTATCCTCCATACTATTTTACCCAGGCTTCGTGCTCTGGAGAGGACACTCCAGCTTCGCATACAGCGTCGAAACAACACGGGAAGTAGCAGTTACAGGTTATAAGTCCTTGCTCAATTGGCGTAGAGCATGACGCCAGGGGCTACTTCTGACGGTGGGAGAGGTCATTGCACCTCACTAGGTAGATACCGCCCGCCTTAAGCTGGGCAGCCCCCAGCCAGTAAGGTGCTACCTCACCACGGTCTGTTAACTTCACGGGGTGCGTGGGGTTTAGGGTCAAACCCGACAAGCAGATCGATAACTGTGCACCATGCAACAATCGTAAGAAAACGCCTGCCCTAAAGCTGGGCACCTGGAATGTACGGACAATGACCCCTGGCTTTCCTGACTACGGCTTTCCTAACGACCTGCAAGAAATAGACGATGTGCGCAAGACAGCTGTCATTGACATGGAACTGAGTAGACTGCAGATGGACATTGTTGCCCTGCAAGAGACAAGACTGCCAGACTCGGGATCTGTCAAAGAAAAAAACTTCTCATTCTTCTGGCAGGGAAAACCATCGAATGAGACCAGGGAATATGGTGTTGGCTTTGCAGTCAGAAACACTCTCCTGAGATGCATTGTTCCACCTACTGTGGGGAGTGAAAGAATCCTGTCTCTGCAGCTCCACTCATCAGCAGGACCAGTAACCCTCATTAGTGCATATGCACCAACACTGTCATCCACTCCAGAAGTGAAAGACAAATTCTACGACGATCTGGCAGCTACTATCAAAAAAGTCCCTGAAAGAGAGTCACTGTTCATTCTTGGAGACTTTAACGCTAGAGTTGGTGCTGATCATAATTCTTGGCCCACTTGTCTAGGCCGTTTTGGCATTGGAAAGATGAACGAAAATGGCCAACGCTTACTGGAGTTTTGCTGTTACTATGGTCTCTGTGTCAGCAACACATTCTTTAATACGAAGCTGCAACACAGAGTTTCCTGGAGACATCCAAGATCCAAGCATTGGCATCAGCTCGATTTGATCCTCACTAGACGTTCTAGCCTTCCTAGTGTTACGATCACACGCAGCTACCAGAGTGCTGATTGCGATACTGATCACTCCCTGGTGTGTAGTAGAGTAAAACTGCGAACAAAGAAATTGTATCACATGAAAAAGGAAGGAAGACCACGTATTGACATCAACAAGACTCGCGATCAAAGAAAAGTGAAGGAATTTGCCCAAGCACTCGAGGAAACCCTTCCAGGTCCAGCTAATGTAAATGCACCTGAACGATGGGAACACTTCAAGAACACTGTCTACAACACCGCCTTGTCCACCTTCGGCAAGAAGACCAGAAAGATGGCTGACTGGTCCGAAGCCCATTCGGAGGAGTTAATGCCAGCCATTGAGGATAAGAGAAGAGCTCTAGCAGCATACAAAGCCTGTCCTAGCGAGTACAACCTGCAAGCTCTGGGAGCCGCTCGTAGCCAAGTCCAACAGGCTGCCAGGAGATGCTCCAATGACTATTGGCTTCAGCATTCCTCTCAGATACAGATAGCAGCGGACACAGGTAACATCAAAGGAATGTATGATGGTATCAAGCAGGCCTTAGGTCCATTACAGAAGAAATCTGCTCCCTTGAAGTCTACTACAGGTGTAATCATCCAGGACCGAGCACAGCAGATGGAACGCTGGGTGCAGCACTACTCCGAGCTATATTCCAGAAAGAATGTAGTAACCGAAGAAGCATTAAATAACATTGAGTGCCTGCCTGTCTTGGAAGAGCTGGACAGCGAACCAACCCTAGCAGAAATAAATGCGGCCTTGGATTCCCTCACCTCTGGCAAGGCACCTGGAAGGGACAACATCCCTGTTGAAGTGCTGAAATGCGGTAAGGAGATCATCATCACCGAACTGTATGAAATCTTTTGCCTCTGCTGGAGGGAAGGTGGAGTACCACAGGACATGAAGGATGCAAACATTGTCACGTTGTACAAGAACAAAGGTGACAGGGGTGACTGCAATAACTACCGTGGTATCTCTCTTCTTAGCGTTGTAGGGAAGCTGCTTGCCCGTGTTGTGCTGAAGAGGCTCCAGGTGCTTGCAGACAGAGTCTATCCGGAATCACAGTGTGGATTTCGAGCAAATAGATCCACCACTGACATGGTATTCTCCCTCCGACAGTTGCAGGAGAAATGCAGGGAACAACAACAGCCACTCTTAGTGGCCTTCATAGACCTTACAAAAGCATTTGACTTGGTTAGCAGGGATGGCCTTTTCAAAATACTTCCCAAGATTGGATGTCCACCTCGTCTCCTTAACATCATCAGGTCCTTCCACGATGGAATGAAAGGCACTGTAGTTTTTGACGGCTCAACATCAGATCCCTTTGACATCCGAAGCGGAGTGAAACAGGGCTGTGTCCTCGCACCAACACTTTTTGGGATCTTTTTTGCTGTCATGCTGAAGCATGCCTTTGGAACTGCAACAGAAGGTGTCTATCTCCGGACTAGATCAGATGGAAAGCTCTTTAATCTCTCTAGATTGAGAGCAAAGACCAAAGTCCAGCTGAAATGCATGAGGGACTTCCTCTTTGCAGACGATGCAGCCATTGTTGCCCACTCTGCTGAAGACCTCCAACAACTCATGAACCGTTTCAGCAAGGCCTGCCAAGACTTTGGACTAACAATCAGCCTGAAGAAAACACAAGTCATGGGCCAGGGTGTGGACTCACCTCCCTCTATTACCATCTCCACACAAGAATTGGAGGTTGTTCATGACTTTGTGTACCTTGGCTCAACCATCTCTGACACCCTCTCTCTAGATGTCGAGCTGGATAAACGCATTGGGAAAGCAGCCACCATGTTCTCTAGACTCACAAAGAGAGTATGGCTCAATAAGAAACTGACAACACATACCAAGATCCAGGTCTATAGAGCCTGTGTCCTGAGCACACTCCTGTACTGCAGCGAGTCCTGGACACTTTGTGCCCGGCAGGAGAGGAAGCTGAACACCTTCCATATGCGTTGCCTACGACGGATTTTTGGTATCACCTGGCAGGACAGAGTTCCAAATAGAGTAGTCCTAGAACGAGCTGGAATTTTCAGCATGCATACATTACTGAAACAGCGACGTCTACGCTGGCTTGGGCACGTTGTGAGAATGGCTGATGGTCGGATTCCAAAGGATCTCCTATATGGAGAATTAGTGCAGGGAAATCGCCCCAGAGGGAGACCACAGCTGCGATACAAGGACATCTGCAAGCGGGATCTGAAGGCCTTAGGAATAGACCTCAACAGATGGGAAACTCTGACATCTGATCGTTCAGCCTGGAGGCAGGCAGTACATCACGGCCTCTCCCAATTTGAAGAGACCCTTGTCCAGCAGGCTGAGGCAAAGAGGAAGTCACAAAGGAAGCAAAACCAGGGAGCTGGACAGGGGACAGATTGGATTTGTCTCCAGTGTGGAAGGGATTGTCACTCTCGAATTGGCCTCCTCAGCCACACTAGACGCTGTTCCAAGTCCTCCATACAGAGCACGATACCATAGTCTTTCGAGACTGAAGGATGCCTACTAATC